GCACATCATGCAGCAGCATCCAGAGATGATCCAGCAGATGCTGTCCACGGTGCTGAACATCATTATCTTTGAAGACTGTAGGAACCAGTGGTCTATGTCCCGGCCTCTGCTTGGCTTGATACTACTCAATGAAAAGGTAGGGTGAGCAGCTCCTGTCCACTTCACTTCTCTGCTCCATAAGAAGGCCTTTTAGGACCCCCTAGAATGGCAAAACAAGGAACATGGGCCATTTCCTGAGTATGTGATAGTCCTGTTGACCCATTAGAAACTAGGAGCATGGCCGTTCCAACAGGTAGAAGGTAGAGGAGAGGAAGAATCTTCTGTGAGGAGTAAGGGAAACTGTGTCTGGATAGTAGAGCAGGGCTGGGGAGATGGCTCAGTGGAATAAGCACTTCCCTGGCAAGCGCAAGGGCCAGAGTTCAGTCCCCAGTTCTGCTCAGATAAATAGATAAATAGATGAATGGACGGACGGATGGACGGTAGAGCACCTAAGGCTCAGTTCTGATTCCTGCTCTGTCAGTCTTGTTGTTACAATACTAAAAATGAAGGGTTTGGGGTCGGGGAGATGGCTTAGTAGAATAAGCATTTCCCTAGCAAGCACAAGGGCCTGAGTTCAATCCCTGGGTCTGCCAAAAAAAAATGGAGAGTCTGAACCAGCTTATCCTTAAAGTGTTTTACAAACTAGAAATTCCTGATTTTTAAGTAGGATGAAGACATATCCTGCATTTTGAGTGAATCTGAAAAAAAGAAAAGCATGGCCTGTTTTAGTAGCCAGTACATCCCATTTCCTTCCTGAAGGTCACAGATGACTGCCTTCCCCTGCCATCTCTTACCTTGTTTCTGTCCTTGCTCCACAGTATTTTTCTGACCTAAGGAACAGTATCGTCAACAGCCAGCCACCAGAGAAGCAGCAAGCAATGCATCTGTGCTTTGAAAACCTGATGGAAGGCATTGAGCGGAATCTTCTCACGAAGAACAGAGACAGGTAAGTGCTGAAGTCCTGCCAAGAAGTCCTGGGCACCTGCTGTACTTTTCAGATCACTAAAACAAGGGCATCCCTAGAGCAGCGCTGCCCAACAGCAAAGCAGTAACAGCTCTAGGATCCACATTTACAAAGAGTGAAGAGAGCAGGCAAGTCGAGGTGCAGTTGAGAGGTACAGTGGTTAATTAGCCTGCCTGTAGCCCTGGGTTCAGTACCAAAACCTGGCAGAGGTGAAAGTAGGCAAAATGCATTTGAATGATACGGTTTATTAGTGCCACTTGCCTAAGATTTTATGTCACTATACAATCAAGAGTTAAAAATTGAAAATATTAGGCCGGCCAGATAGCTCAGCAGACTAAAGCGCCTGCTTAAGCAGAGTGCAGCAGCCGGGGTTAGAGCACCAGCAGGCTGTGGTGGCACGTGCCTGTTATGCCAGCGCTTGGGAGGCTGAAGACAGGAGAACACGAATCCGACCTACATAGTGAGATCCTGTAGACACTGTACTAAATACATTTTTTTTAAGAAATTGAAAATTTTAACCATTTTTCTGTTACACTAACCCTTCAAAATCCTATGTAGCCTCAACATAATCTAAATTTTCACCAGAAATACTTGACCTGTATTTGTATTTCATACATTTATAATGAACAGAGTTCCATATTCAGTTTTTGTTTGGTTTGGTTTTGGTTTTGCTTTTGGGGTTTTTTGTTGTTGTTCTTGTATTTTAGGGAAGGTTCTACAAGGTGTTCAGGGTCTCACTACTAGATCAGACTCATACTGATCCGCCAAGCGTGTGCCACCACGCCCAGTCTCAGTTGCCTTCTCAGCATATACCCCTGGCCCCTGCGCCTGCTTGCAGGGGATTCAGTCTGCTAAGTTATTTGGCTGGCCCCATACTCAGTTTTTTTAACCTAATTGAGTATATCTGGGTTTTTCAAATTAATTTTCATTCAATTTTGATAAAGGAGGGCCGGGGAGGTGGCTCAGTAGGTTAAGTGCTTCCCTGGCAAGCGCAAGGGCCTGCGTTCAGTCCCTGATTCCACAAAAAGAAATAAATAAAACAGTAAAAACCTTTAAAAGAATTTTTTTTTTTTTTTTTT